ATCAAGGCCTAAAAAGCATTTCTTAGGTCATGGAGCAGCCTGGAGGGGCTGGTGGGATGCATCAGAACAGGAAGTCATGCATGGAACTGGGAATAGGATAAAGAAAAATGGAAATCAATACAAAATTGCATGCATGGAACTGGGAATAGGATAAAGAAAAATGAAAATGCAATACAAAATTGCAATATAAAATTGCACACACTGTAGCTGGAAGTCTTTGATATGAGTTATCAATATGAATTCTCTATTGGAATATGTAGAAACCAGACTCTTTCTGAGATTAACCAGAAAAAAACCTGTGGGCAGGTCAGATCTCTCTCCTTCTTACAGTTATTCACATAGTTAACCATAGTTAACAGGGAAACTCTGGGGCAGCTTCAGCTAAGGTGCTCTGAGTGATTGGGAAGACATTGCACATCCTTCCCAATACAGATCTAGCCTGCTTTCCAATCCTGACCAAAGTCCCTGACCATTAGCCAAGCATAACTGTTAACTAGCAAGAATAAAATCCACAGAACCATAATCATAACCACATCTACTAATTATACCATGTGAATTTTTAACATAACTGTTTGTTAGATTGACCCACAAGGGTTGGTGTCTCATGGCTTACTGGTTTCTGGGACTACCAAAAGGTACAGATTTGAAACAAGTGCTGATAAATCTGTGGTATCAAAGAAATATATGTGTGTGTATATATATATATATATATATATATATCAGAGCTGTGGTATACCAGCAATGTTTCCATCAACAAAACAAGTGGCATGAGGTCATTGGCAGGAAAGAAAGGGGTCCAACAAAATGCTGGCAGATGGGAGGCAGGTGACCAGCAGAGACTTTTGCAGGGGAATCGTGTGTGAAACTGAAGCAGTGAACTTTCTGTACCTGAAAAAATTGTCATGGAAGAGATGATGATAGACATCCTGCAAAAACAGAGAAGCAGGCAGATGTTAGACTTGCTGGCAGGAGTTCCCTGTGCCATCAAAGGGCTAAATCAGAGCAGTACAGAACTCCTGTGACAATCCAGGAAGGAGAAGAGGAAGTATTTCCACAGAGTATTTCAGGCTACAGAAAATAAACCAAAAACGTGTTTCTCATAATGATCTGAGTGTGCCACCATGTTCAGTGTATCAACAAATTAATGAATCAGTTGAGAGCTCTTGAGAGGCACACAATGGAAAGTGATATCAGCGAGGAGACTGTGCAATACACAGTGCAAGGATCTGGCTAAATTCAGGTAATGAGGAGTGTGGGATTATAATATTTTGTCTCAGATTTTGGGAGTTTCTTGATGCATGCTGGGCTTCTGCCACTACTTACAAGAACCCAGTGGTGAATCCTGTGCCAAATGGTGGTGTGTGGATGGATAAGGTAGAGACAGCTGGACTGCAGGAGGAGGTGGGAGCCTCCTGAAGCCCTTATGTGGGTGGCTGCACCCTGGAGGGCTGGGAGAGAGGACTCAGAAGATGAGCACAGTCTCTGAAACACCTGGAAAGGTGTGGCCCACTGGAATGTGGATAGTGTCCACTGGACAGCATGGGCCATTGACAGAGAGAGACCTGGGAAGGAAAACAACCCAATTCCCCAATTTACCTTCTAGATTCTAGGACAAATTTCCAGTTTGTCCTAGTGCCCTCTCACCTAACTATTTTGTAATCTCACCACTGAAATTAGTCACATTTTTGATGCAGAGGAAAAATATCTGCTACTGTGGTTTTTTATAATGGTTATGAACCTGAACCAGGGCAAGTACAGCACTGCTCAAAAGCCATTGCTTTAGTGTCAGAGTGGCCTAATGAAGATATGGAGGAGTCCCCATTTATCTAAAACATTGATGCTGTATAAGTTGATTGAAATCAGGAGGTGAATAGCTTTGTATGCTACATACTTCATGAAATAAAGAAATATTTGGCAGCCTGGTGCCTGACAGTCAGAATACTGTAAATATTTGTACTCTTGAACTGGGTGGTGTTGATTCTGCATCATTGCTGAGAGTGACAAACAGAAAGCATACTCCCAGAGAATTTTGGGATCACTCTAGCCCTGTTGTCTGGCTGTTCACAGGACTGAGCCAGCAGAGTTAATCCTGGAGGGTCATGTAAGGGTTTATCAGAGCAGAAGGGAAATATAAGACAGAATAAAGCCTTGTCTTCATAGAAATAGCTGGGAAAGCATCCAGAAGTTTAGTGCAGACGATGCTAACCAGACCTCTCAGAGGAGAAAGGGACATTAATCAGTGGAGCAACAAGAGATTCTGGCAGCCCCAACAGGAATGTCCCCAGGACTTCACAGGCCAAAGCAAAGCAACACCTCTCTTTCCCTTCCTAACCTCCTCTACTTTCATCCTGCAGTACTTGCTCTTTCCCATTGCTCTCACCCAGTGGCAGATGCATTTCCATCTTAAATGCAAAGGAAAGGAGGATTGACTCATATGGTAGAGGAGTTAATTGCATATTACCTGACATTATAAATGTGAGAGGAGTCCTTCCTTCTGTGTGGTGAATCTGAGCCAGAGCACAGAACTGAGTCCTGGTGGATCTCCTGTCAGTCACATGGGAGGGCAGGACTGAGAACCAAACCTCTGCCACCTGCACTCTGCCATGTGTTCACCACACTCCCGTTCCCCAAGATTTCTCAGAAAAATCAGTCAGTCTCTAGGCTGCTCTCAAAGACTATTCTGTATTTCCTGCACCATTTGTATTAATATTTAACTATTCATTTCCTTATATTCCTTTTTGTCCTAGCACTGAACTCTATGTTTTTTTACAATATTAGCATTCTGAGAATCAATGACCAAATCTGCTGCCAAAAGAAGATGACATCTACATTAATTCCTTCAGATGTATTGTTTATGGGAAGGAGTTATTTTGAAATTAAGATTACTTGTGAAAGGTTATGGGAAACTTCTTGGGTATTTTTGTGGTCTTTTCTTCCTATTCTTTAACGACATATGAACAGTTGCCTTAGAAAATAGAGATAAGGGCAAATACAAAGGCATTAAACCCCTAAAAGAAAATGTCATCCTAAGGTGCTTCTTACTAAAGTCCCTCTCTTCATTGTTTTGTTCTTCTTATGGTTCTTCTAAATACTGAAATGCTTTTGGGCCCTGAAGAACCTTCACTCAGTTTCATGGACCTCTCCTCAAAGCTTATAAATAATGTTACTTCTATATTTGTTTTATATCTCCTAAACTCTCCAAGTCTCACACTTGATCCCAAAGCTTGGCCTCAAATGGAGCATAAAAGTCCTCCTTGGTCAAGACTAGGCCTGCTAGAGGGGTTGGCTGTGGTGGCACCACACAACAGCTGGCCCTGCCTCTCCCCTGAGTCCTTCATGGTGCTCCTTAGATACAACTGAGACTTTATGTGAAAACTTCTGGAATTCAAACACCTGCTCTGAATCCCATCAGAATATTTTTGTGAAGAGAAGTCATGGCAGGTGCACGAGCCCTGAGATGATATGAGAACACACTGAACTTTCCAAAAAATGCAAAACTAGTTGGAGTAATGTTGGACATAGAACAGAGGGACCCAAACCTCAACTGAATTTCACAAGGATTGAGATTTAATTAGTCCCAGAACTGCTTCAAGTCGGTTTCAGAGGGAATTGGTCAGACAATGATTTTACATGTCTCATCCAGAAATAATCTCCAGCATATTTCTTGCAGGGCACTGTCTTTCCCTACTCAGAAAGGGGCGGAGCAGAAGAAAGTAAAATTTCAAAACTGACTGTCAGTTTTAATGACATCCAGGGAGGAGAGGCTGGCTCCCAGTTCTGTGCCTGTACAACACAGCTCTCTCTGTAACTCTGCACTGGTCCTAGCCATGGAAACAGGAGCACCCTGCCACTGGCATGCAGGTGATCAGCTATGGTAAATGATTCTCTGCCCATAGAGGCAGTTTTGTTTGGACACCAGGAAGACTTGATTTCGGTGACAGGAATCAGATGTGAATGTAGAGAGGCAGAAATCCCTGCCAAAAAAATAATCGATTTTTGCAGGTAGATCTTTTTAACATGTCTCAGGGTTTTCATGCTCTCTCTCCCACATTTAGTCAATAGGAATTTTTGTGCTTGCCTAATGTCAGATAAAAAGAAAAACCCTGTATCCTCATTAGAACTACACTAATAAGCATGATTAATGTGCATAATTAACTCAATTTACCTCACCTTAATGGAGTTCCTGAAGGTCCTCAAATAGCACTATTAAGGCTCAGGAGAAGTGGTGAGGACTTTTCCTCCTGTTCTTTGTGCCAGCTGGATGGCAGCCAGCTCTGATCCACAGCAGCTGTCCCCATCCAGGGAGCACAAACCTTCCTAATGGAAAGACAGCCCTGGGGGAAGCCTTCCCCATGTCCTGTCACCTTCCAGCACAGCAGGAGGGAGCCTGGCTCTGCTGCAGTGGGCAGATGCACAGCGCTCCAAAAGAGAGATTATCAGTTGGTGCCAGGCTGAGGAAATGGCTGTGCTGGTAAATTGGAAGGTGAAATCGAGGGAGGAAAAGTATTCCTGTTTAGCAAATGCAGTATGTCTTCAGAGTGGGACTGAAGCCATGGAATTGAGTTAGCACATTCTCAGAGATAGCTCATCTTCAGGGATATCTGAACTCCTCACAGGAGGTCATGGCAGCCTTCACTGGGATCTGAGTCACACATACCTCTCTAATGAGGCCAGAGTGTCCTGCTGTACTCTCTCTCATGATCCAGTAGCTATCTATACATGCAGAAAGAATATACTTGATAAAGTGGCCTAAATCTGTGCAGCACATTACTTTTCTATTCTGTGACTTTTTGGGGCTTGGTAGGCAGCCCTTACTACCTCTTGCAGGGCTTTTAGGAACCTCCCAGGCTGACACCCACTTTCCTTAATGCTAGGAGTGCTATGCATTTTCCTAGCGTCTTCTTCCTTGGATGTGCAGTGTCTTTTCTGAAATTTCTGGGGAACTGAAAAATCATTCCAGTAAACTAAAAGAGTGGGCAAGACATATTTAAAGGACCAGAGATGCAATACTGCAGAATTGGTGAGGTACACAGCTATTTCTCTTATAACCCCTTGCAATGTACAGAGCTGTTAACCCTGCCCAAACAGGGGAAAGTCATTGACTGATCTCTAAAACTGAAGTCCTTGGGAAATGTCCATTCAGAGCTGGAGCACCTGTCAGCAGCTCCTGGGCAGAAAAAGCTTCCTGACCTGCCTGAGTCCTTCAGCTTTCCAGACAGGCAGGATTTTCATCCTTACAGCTTTTATCTCAGCACTTGTTTTTTTAAGTTATCCATCTATGCCTCAACTAAGGTGCTTTTCCTGATCTGACCCATAAAAGAGGATGCAAGCTGGACAACTCCTGGAGCTGGTGCTCTCTGTTGTGTCCTCAGGCTCTGGCATTTCTCAGACAGTAAAGACAACCCCTGTGCTTGGCAATGGTTCGCATCACTTGAAGTCTGGCATTCTGAAGTATGTTGGAAACAATTTCATCCCCGTTCTTCCCACAGGTTCAAACTAAATTTTATTTAAGGGTAAAGACATGCCTAAAATGCCAGTTCTTTGCTAGTGTGTATATTGTCTGCTTTTTCCCTAAATATTATACAATTGAAAGCTAAAAGGCCAATACAGTAGAAGCTGTCATGGCCCTTGCAGTCATTATTTGTAAGTGTTGTCATTATGTAAAACTGCAGTGATTATATATAATTACTAAGAAAGTTGTGTAACTAAGGAAGAGGTCTTTCTTGCAGAAATAAAAATGTTATCTTGGAGCTCACTCTTGACACACAGCCTTCTCTGACCTGCAACTAGACCATGCTTCTTTCCTCTCATTTCTCTAACAAGCTCTTTCTCATAAAGCCAAAATGTAAATGATAAACAGTCTTCTCTAATTAAAGGCATTCTGTAATACTAGTGAGGAAAACAACATCATTTATATGTGAAATCAAAATCAGCTTATGGATCCCATCCTTCCTACTGCCTGAACACTTCAGGTGCAACGAAGATGCCATTTTCTGTTCTCTATGTTCCTATTCTTAGCACAATAAAAATGAAATTACTGTTATTTGCCACTGTTTTGTTAAAATGTCAAACTGTGTTGCAAACAAATTTATTTCAGTCCAGTTCAGCTGAGTTCAGCTCAGCAGCACGTGAGCCTTCTTCCTGCCTCTGCTTCTTTGTAAAGCCACAGCAAGAACTGCTGGGGAGTGCCAGACTCACTCAAATTAAAAATAATACAGCCATGGGCAGCACATTTAAATAGGAATCATGGAAAAAATACTGTAGTTGGAAATCAAGCCACCAGCACCCAAACACTGCCATGGAAGCAGCAGTGCAAGAGAAACTAAAGCCAATGGGAATCTCTTCATCTCAAACTGAACTTCATATGTTGAGCTTTATTCCCATCCTGGGTTCTGCTGAAGGGGTTTTCACTCACCAGGCCTGTGGTGGGGAAAATCTGCCTTGTAGGGCACAAAAAAACAGCACCTCACCTTATTCTCCACATGGAGCTTCTTAATAGCTCAGAGGATATCAAGAAAGACAGGGTTCAAGCTCTCTCCAAAGAAGCCACTCCTTGCTTCTTTTCTAAGGAGCCCTGAATGTAACTCCCAAAATTGTCTCCGACAGCATTCCTCTCCATCTGGCCAAGACACTTCAGCTTGAATTGTCAAATGGACTGCAAGGATGCTAAAACACAGGGCACTGCAAAAACCTGGGACATAAATCATTCAAAGATGTTTCTCTTTATTCTGCAGTGTGAGCCAAATGTGACAATCACACTGGATGTGAAAAGCCCTTAATTTCTTTTAAGTAGGCTTTAAAGTAATGCATGTTAACACCCAGTAACTCCTTCAGCCTTGACTCATTTGTGAAGATGCTGTATAGAGTCACAGAATCTGAGAATTGTTAAGGTTGGAAAGACTTCTAAGATCATTGAGTTGAACCATTAAACCATTGAACCCAATGAAAAAAAATGAACCTAAAATTAAGATACTTCACTGCTGAGATGTGTTTCCTCTGGAGGCTGTCTGAGGCTCAGCTGACGTGCTCGGTGCCTGCTGGCGTGCCACAGGCTGTCATCATTCACTTGGGACTCGGTGTCAGCACCGAGCAAGTGCTAATTGGTGTGAACAAAAATTAAGGTTTCTGACTTTTTATGAACAGCAGACAAAGGGATTTGCAATGGCACATCAGTCCAGAACAGAGCTCTCTGTTATGAATTTTATGTCATTAGAAATGTTTTCAGCTTGGCAACTTTGGGCAGGCTCAGGAGGTTAGAATGAAACTTTTATATTTGCCCAGTGTTGCAGATGCCTGTGCTCTCTGGTAAGGAGGGTCTTCCAAAGGACATTGGGAGGTGTGGAGTCCCAGCTTCACACACAAAAAATCACTTCATGTTTATGAAGCTTGTGCCTATTTTTAACCCTTCTCCTTGATACATTCCTATGATTGATGGTTTTTACTGGATTTTTGTTGTGCTTGTACTACAGAGCACCCATTTCTGCTGGACCTTTTTAGATGATACTTTGATACAGAGCAGTGTTTTAGCAAACTTTATATTTGAGCATGTGGTGTCTTCACCAGCAGTCTGGTAGCCAGTAGAGTCAGATTCACATCTTATTAATCATACACTTGTGTTTTGTCAGAAAAAAATACCTTAACAAACTTAAGCCATCATTTTGTGAAGAGAAAGATTTTGTGACTTTTCACAATGCAGCAGAAATGCATGAACCTTGTTATTTCTTTTCTCTCCCAGGCTACTGTTGCCAGGACACTTACACCTTGACATTAAAATCAATTGATGTATTTAGCTAGCATTTACTTTTGTTTCCAGCAGTGGCTGTGGGGAAAAAAAATGAGGTACCAAAAGTAGACATTTTTATAAATCGACAGCTTGGAGCAATTTGTGTCTGAGTATTTAAAAGAACAAATAAGATTCCACCTAGTAATTCCTAGAAAGCAGAGGCTCACCCACATCTGCAGCAGGCTGGATTCTGATCTCACTGACTAAAGACATGTCAGGAATCTCCTCAGGTTAACTTTGGTCATCAACAGCAGTGGTCATCAATACTGACCTTCCCTACTCTGTGGAGGGTTTGTCCTGTGCACCCACTTTGGCACCTCTCTGTGGGAAATAGCAAAGGTTAGAGGATTTTCAGAAAGCTGGGAAAGCAGGCCTTAGAAACAGAAAGAACAGAGAAATTAGAATCAGCTGCAGCTGCAAAGTCTGAAGATAGGAAAAAGTTACAATGGTACAACAAGCAAGGACATGAAATAATACCTTGAGTTTTAGGCTTGGCTGAGATAGACCTTAAGACTGCAGGAAAATATGCTTAGCAAGATAGTAGAAGGTTTTAAACTTAATAACGGTGTATTGTGTACTGTTAATAGAAAGAAGCAAGCATTGTGTGAAGCAGGTGTACGTGTGCTTTTAGTGATTGGCTGGAACAACTGTCTGTAAGCTTTAGCAATATGCTATTGGCTAAAAGATCTTTAAATGTTCTGTAATAAATCTTTGGCTGCTGCTGGCTGTACGTGAGCTTTGCCATCTTTCTATTGTCTCAACCATGTAATGAGGCTGATGCTGCAATAAAAGCTCAAGAAACGTGCCCCAGCAGTCCTGTTCCATTTGTGAGGAAAAACAACTCCCCAGCACTCTCTCTACCAAAAAAGCAGATACAGCTGTGGCAACAAAAAGGCAACCTTTATTCCTGAGATATGGAGAAATACAGAGCAAGACAAATCAGTAATTCCTTCTCTGACTTGCTCAACAAAGCACAAAGATATGTAATCTTTTTGCAAAAAGAAAATAGTTCGAGAGGGCCTTGCTGAGCTTACGAGCTATTTGGTCTGAAACAAATTAGTTCAGGTGCTGTTTACCAGCCAGGTAAAAGTAAACCTGGTGCTAGTCAGAACATGAGAAAGAGGAAAAAAGTTAGTGGAGCTCTCTAGGGGCTAAAAGAAAACAATATCTCTGCTCTTGAGGTGATGAATGTGAAATAGGCAGTGGAGGCAACGGAGCAATGAGCACAATGGTAAAGGAAATCAAAGTAGGTTCCCATTGTTTTAGGAGATGAAAATGGGCCATATGAGAAGAACCTGTATTGCTGATTAACAGAGCATCACAAAAGTTGTTTTCTCATGTCTGGGTACACAGCTGATCTCATTTGGCTTACAGAGCTGGTGATGGTTTTTTTTCAAGACAGGAAATCAGTTAAAATGTAGACAGCAAATTTAATCCTGTTGGAGGAACAACTGAAAATGGAATTTAGGGCCAATGAACTCTTAATGATTTACAGAGATTCTACACCAAATCCCTCTCCCTAACTTCAGGACAGGCCCACTACAGGTGTCCTGACACTACCAAACCTTTTGCTAGTGAGCCCTTTGACTCAGATTTCTCTATAATTTTTCGCTTGTTGCAACCCTACAATGATTCCTCTAACAGCTGCACCTCCTCATAATCTTTGTTTCATTCTGCCCTGTGCCATGCACACGTATATGGGTATATTCCACACCAAACTAAATTAGTTACCACCTTCCTTTTTCACTTTTTGAGTCTCAATTAAACCCCTTCACCTGTGGGCATACCAAGATGGACTTAAAAGTATCTGTCTGTATTAAGGCAGATGCCAGAGTGCACCTCAGCTCTGTGGTTGACCAAGAGATGTTTTCATTCCATTGTACTGTTATTCCCATTTGGAATGAGATACAGGCATTATTAAGTGACAGCATTAAACTAAAATATTTCAATTATTGTGGGTTCTTTTTGTTTGTTTACACTGTCTGTTATTGTAATCCTACCCACAGTAATTTAACTTGGTTTTAGATTATTAAATTAATGGGATGTCTTGATTCAATCACTGCTGGAATAGAATTATTATTGAAACTATAGATGTTTGGAGATTTCATTCTAGGAAAAGTTGCCAAGTTTTCAGACTTTTCTTTCAGCCCTGACCTCACCAGTTTTACTTATATAAATCTTCCCTATAGCAGTATTAAACTCTTGCACAAAAGTTTTCCAGAGGTGAAGTGCAACACTGGTG